TGGGGGTCACCACCACATGAGGAACTGTATGAAAGGGTCGCAGCCTGAGGAAGGCTGAGAACCACTGTCCTGGTGTGAGGTATGCGTGATGGTGAGCCGTTCATAGCCCGCAGCCGCTCCAAGGGAGGAAGACGAGGCTTTCTGCTCCCGTGAAGACGCACAGCCTCAGGGAAGTTCTTCTCTGTCCTGTAGGGTCGTTGTGGGTTTTTTTTGTCTCCTCCTCCTACATAGAGTTGGCTTACTCCCGTGAACCTGAGGTTTCTAAACGTGGCTGATCCTTGGGATCCCCTGGGGATCTGGTGAAAATCCAGCTCCCTGGGCTCTCTCGGGGTGGGTGGGGCGGGGGACTTAGGCTCAAGACGGCCCTGCCGTAACTTTCAGGCAGTTTCCTTTAGTTTGCTCTTCAGTTCTTGTCAGTTGGCTCGGGCTGAATTTTTCAGAACTCGATCGCCAGACCTTTCTTTTGATAAGAAAGAACTGCCAGCCTTCTGGTTGGTCAACGCAGGGCCTCAAGTGCAGGGTCCTTGAACCCCGGGGCCCAGTGCTGGGTCTGAGCGGAACCCTGGGGCCCAGCGCTACGTCTGAACCAACCCCAGTCTTCAGTGGGCAAGCGTGTGTTCACCGTCGTCATCAGAGACGATGTTTTTTGGGTGGGGGGCCTGGGGCTGGGGCCTGGGTACCGGCGGCGGCGGGCAGCGAGCTCACCCTGGCTGGTCTCCTCTAGGTGGACTTGGAGAATGGGCTGTCCGAATTCTCGGTGGCACAGCGGCGGCTAGTCCACGGCTGGAATGAGTTTGTGGCCGACAATACGGAGCCTGTGTGGAAGAAATACCTGGACCAGGTAGGGCCCACGTGTTAGGTCTGCCCTCTGAGCAGCCTGAGGTGGGGGTGGGTGGAGGGGAGCCATCTCTTGTTTAAATATTGATCGAGGTGTCCTGGGGCAAGGCCTGCGGGATGGGGACAGGGCTGCTGTAAAGATAAAGAAGCCTCCCTTCCCCGTCACGCCCCTGTGGAAACTGCTCTCAGCCACTTAAGGAGCAGCAGGGAGCGTAACTTCCCGGTGACTGCGTGTCAGGCACCCTGCTAAGTGCTATGGGCTCTCACTGCGTCCTCCTGCGACCCAGCTCCCACCTCACTCACTGCCACTGAGGGGATGCCACACACAGCCACCCACCAGGACAGAGTAGAGCTGCCCCTGTGGGTTTCAGAGACTACAATTCTTTTTTTTTAATCATATTATTGGGGGCTTATACAATCCATTCTTATCACAATCCATACATCCATCCATTGTGTGAAGCATATATGTCCATTTGTTGCCCTCATCATTCTCAAAACATCTGCTCATTTTCGCCCTCCCTCCCCGCTCCCCCCTCCCTCATGAACCCTTCATCATGCATAAATTATTATGTTGTCATATGTT